TGACATGAAGCAACGTGGCGATGCTAGGAAGCAAACAAGTCCAGATTTTATTGATCTATTTGGTTTTTCCATGATTTCTGTTTTCCCAATGTATGTTCCCTTCCCCCCCTCCCAGAAAGTCATCCCTTGTACAACAAAGAAGAAAAAAGAGAAAACCTGATACAATAAATGTATAAAAAACAACGTATCAAAAATGTCTGACTTCATAGACAGTATTCCACATCCAGGCCCCGCTCTCTGCAAAGAAGCAAGGGGAAGTGCCTTCTCCTGTCTCTTTTTTGGGGCCAAGTTTGGCTCCCAATGCTCTTCAGTTATAGTACACTACTTCTTATTTAGTACAATGCAGTGTCCATATAATCCCCTTTATATTTAAAAAAAAGAGACCTGCTTAATTCAATAATGTTTCTTCCTTTCCATTTGTTTCCCAGACTTATATTCAATAATAGAAAATCACTTGTCTTTCCAGTATGACTTTTAAGTATATTACTATCCTTACTGAGAAAAAACTCTGTCCTATTATTTAAAAGAAACAACATTCAAAGGGCTAAAAACTAACTGAGTTGGTGTTTGCCCTTTTATCATGTAAATTTTAATCACATAAAAAAATCTGGAGTTGAGCTAAACCAAATGTTTAATACTGCTGCAGTTAATATTTTTGAAATCTTCATCATAGCGTTTATGCTGAATTTTAGTACGATTTTTCAAATCCAAAATTCTGAAAATTACCAAAAGTTTAAAAAAAGTATTAAATATGATCCTTAGTTTAAGGCATCAACAGCAATTTTTAAATTTGTTACACTGTTGGTGGAATTTTAATTACCATGAAGTTACGAATGAAACATTACTTCTGAGCATTACGTGAGTCAATGTGTATTAAATAGTCCTAAGATAATAAATTCACTGAGAGTATGCAGTATTTGAACTGAAATGCACTGAGAAAATTCCAATATAGTAAATACAATGGAACAAAAGAATCATTTATCTACAATGGGAAAAGTCTACTATGTATGTACCTTTTAAAATACAAATAGAAACATTTCATTTATAAAGTAGGCCTGGCAATTGTAGAAGCCAAATTTGCTATTTCTATTTTCTAACTTTTTCCTTTGGCTCAGTACACCCTTTTCTGTAAATTGTGTTCCTTTGTGCCCAAGAAGAAGTTGTTTGAAAACCAGCCTAATCTAAATGACTCTAAGGTAACCCTTACGTTTATGCCTTCATGTATTATTTGGACACTGGAAAAATTTAGACTTGGCAGTTCTATTGATCTCTTGAGTTGGTAAAAAAAAAAAACCACCTTGTAAAGATGGCAGCTTTTCCCCAGTTAGTCAATTGCTTAATAAAAGTCTGGGAAAATATAATCTGCTAAAATGAGTAAGTAGTTTTAATTCCACAACACAAATAAATTTTAAAAATCACATAGTTAACTTCCATTGGAAAATGCTGCATGTAATTTAGGTAATGATGCAATCACTGTGAGATACAAGAAAGTAACTTTCACTGAAGATAAAAGGGCAATATAAGCTAATATTTTTTAAAAGTCCAACTACAGGGGAAAGATTTTCATATAAAGGATGTATTTAGTTAGTGCAACCAGGGATCAAATTATAATTTACATTTCTAGGAAAAAGGCAAACTGCTGGCTACATAATTAGAGTCACAATTTTGCCTAAAGAGAGAACAAAAAATTTAGCAGTTGAATATCTACTTAGGACCATAAGACTCTTCTACAGCTGGAGCAAAAGACAAATCAATCAATTATCATTTATTAAGTATTAAGCACTTCCCATGAGCCAGGCCCTGGCCTCAGTGCTGGAGATACAAAAAAAATGGTAAAAACACAGTCCTTATTTATTTCCAAGGAGCTTAAGTTATAATGGGGAGATACCATGTAAATAATAAGGTAAATGCAATTATATACAAAGAATACATAGAAGGGACATATATTACAGAGATATGTGGGTGGAGTTGTTGCAATGACGAAAAGGGTTTCCAGTGTTTTCATTTGGGGAGGGTCCATGGCAGTGGCCATTTCAAACTTTTTATTTGACCCAAAACAATTAATTTGGAGGAGAAGAAGAGTGGAGTCAAAAGAGCACTAGACTTGTATCACAAGACCTGGATTTGAGTGTGAAGCCCACCATGCTTGTGCTTGGGTAAATCATTTAACCTCTGAACCTTGGTGTCCTCATCTATAAAATGGAAATAATGACACTCTCTCAAAGTATTCCTGTCAGGATCAAATGAAACACTGTTTGTAAAGTGGATTTTTATTAAACAAAAAAGTGCTCTTTAACTATAAAGTATTACCATTAACTCAATTGCCTATAATAACTCTGTACTGTTTTCCTTCAACACTCTCTCCTTTGGGGAGCTCTTCAACTCCCTCCCATGGACTCAATCATCTCTATGTAGATAATACCTAAGTTGATAGCTATCCCTAATGTCTACCTAACCTCAAGTCCCACATTACCAACTGCATGCTAGACATCTTCACTCACAGGTCCCACAGGCACCTCAAATTCAACATGTCCAAAACAAAACTCTTTCTCCCAGACCCAATTTTTTTCTAAATCTTCCCTATTTCTGTCTGCTGGGGATGATCATTTTTCCGGTCACACAAATTCACAACATAAGCATTAAGCCTTGATCCTCTCTTTTCTCCCCAACCCCACATCCAATCAAGTGCCAAATCATGTGAAATCTGCCTCCAAATTTTTGTGTCCATGCCCTTTCACTCACGAGGATAGTGATATGGGAAAAAACATTCAAAACATAGAATATTAACTTAACATCGTGTTCAATAAACTAGAAAACATAAATTACTTAGGAAAGAAGCCACTATTTGATTTAAAACAAAAAAAAAAATTGCTGGTAAAGCTGGTAAGTAGTATGGCAGAAATTAAGCTCAGATCAACATCATATGCTATATTCCACAATAAATTTAAAATGGATATGTGACCTTAATATTAAAGATCATACCATAAAAACATTTAGAAAAAAAGCAGACCATCTATTTTTCACAGCTATGGGCAGAAGACATATTCTTAACCAAAAAAAGGATAGAGTCAATAATAAAAAATATATAATTTTGATTAAATGAAACTGAAAAACTTTTGCACAAACGAAAGTAATGCATTTCACATAAGAAGGAAAGCAGTCAAATAAGAAAAACATCTTTGTATCAAATTTCTCAGACAAAAGATTGGTATCCAAGATATATAGACAACTAATACACATATGCATGCAAGTATGTATATGAATATATGAGTGTTTACAATACATACACACATATATGACCAAAAGTAATTTTCCAAGAGATAAGTGGTATTCTCAAAATAAGAACTGCAAATTATTAACAACTATATGAAAGAATGTCCCAATTCACTACTAACAATAAGAGAAATGCAAATCAAAACAACCTTGAGATTTTTACCTTATACCCAACAAACTGACAAAGATAACAAAAGATGGGAATAGTCAGTCAGTACTGGAGAAGATGTAGGAAGATGGGCACACTAGTGAACTGTTGGTGGAGCTATAAACCAATTCAACTATTCTGGAAAGCAATTTGGAATTATGCAAATAAGATTGCTAAGACATTCACACCATCTTGACCCAGAGATTCCTCTACTAGGCTTACACCACAAAGAAGTCATTTGCTAAGAAGAAAGCACCTACATACACTAAAATATTTACAGCAGCACTTTTATGTGGTCACATAGAATTAGTTGCTCATCAGTTGGAGAATGGCTAAACAAACACAAAACAAACATTACATGAATATAATGGAATATTACTACACTGTAAGAAATTATGAATATAATGAATACAGAAAAGCACAGACTTACATGTTCTGATGCAGAGTGAAGTAAGCAGAGTCAAGAAAATGATATTCACACAACATACCCAATATTACACAAAATAATATACAGTACACAATAACCTCTACTACATAAATGGAAAGAACTACAAAACAATCAAAAATGAATATCGCAAAATTACAAAGAACAAGCATGGCCCCAAAGAGGAGATGAGAACATGCATGGGAGCATAATATTAAATATATTTTCTGACTCTTTCTATGTATTGGTCAATTTTGCTGATTTTTTTTTTCTCTTAAGACTTTTTTTGGTGATATAGGATGGCTCTCTGGGAACAGAAGGGGAGGAGATACTGGAAGAAGCTGTATTGATGTAAAAAAAATCAATTAAAAATTATTTTCAAGAATATTAACAGAATATTAACTATGCCTGGAAGGGCCCTTAGAGACAACCCAATCATCTCATTTCATAAATGAGGAAGATGAAGCTCAGAGAGAATAATTTATCCAAAGTCACAGAACTACCTAGTGAAGAGAAATAATTGACTAAAAAAAGAGACTTTAAATTATAAATCCAATATCCTGTTAATGCAATTCTAAAAGGGGGAACTAAGATCTCAGATTTTTAAAACAATAATGTTTAAAATATCCAAGAAAGTTCTTAAGATGACTGCCTCATCATGGTATGGAAGTAGATCTGGGTTCTCAAATGCTGTGCCAGTACAGTGTAAGCTCTAGTAAGATCTTTCAAGTAGAAAAGCACTGAGTATAGACCCTAGTCCAAGAATTAGCCTATCTAAATTTGGGAAGGCTTAATCACCAGAAGGTTGGCAATCAGATAAAGACTTAGATGTAGCCTGTGTGCAGTTATACCAACAGAAGGAATAACCATACCAATGAAATCATGGGATCTTTGATGTTCTAAAATACTGCTTAAAAGCAGACCTTTAACATATCTGTCTGAAAAAATAATTTGTTTAACCTAGTGATCTTTAAAAAAAAGAAAATCACACACCTGGAATTTAATTTTTTCAACTCTGGTAAAATGATAATCAGACATAACTTTGTGAAAGTACTATTGATTAGGTTCTTATAACACAAGGATGATTTCAAGTTTACATGGATTCATCATAAACAAATCTACATAATTTCATGGATGAGTATTGCAGGAACTTACTGCCTAATTTTGTCATTCCGAGGTCCAAATTTTGGTCCAGATGGGCCCCTTCTGAAATCAAAGTAAAGAGCAGACATTAACAATTATTAGTATTTTAGAAGACATGACCTATAAACAAAAGCCTTAGTTTAAGTATAGCTAAGTCATTTCATGTAGTGAAATAGCATTTTACTGGTACATCTGAAGTTATACCATATTTAATTTATTCTTGCACTTCATTCATATTCATTGCTAACCCAATCTTAGACAATTCATATTAATGTTATCATTTCTAGGGAATTAGATGCACATAATTATCATTAATTATTCACTGATGCTTCTAGTAAATGAATTTCAAAACATCACAAGGAATAAATCATAGAATATCAGTAACTGTAAAAAAGATTAGCTGAGCAACCAAAAATATGCCCCTGGAAAAGAAAAATTCACCACTCATTTTTTTCAGTCAAAAAACGCTGGATGGCAGAACTGTGTAAAGAAATAATTCCTTCCAAAGATTAAAAATTTCAAAATATGTTATATTTGATTACTAGTCGGCATGAAATTTACATGACAGTATGGGAGATACAAATATGGCAACACTTTTCAAGTTATCTCTTTAATACACTCATAATGTATTTCATCTTAACTACTTCTTAACACTGTTCTAGATATTACAAGTAAACATGGCAAATTCTAGTGAATATGTGAGATAGGACAGGTACTAAAAGGCTAAAAATACAGCCAAGAGCTCACCTTCATATACCAACGTGATCTGTACTACTGACAAAAAAAAAATCAGATACAGCTTGGTGATGTTCATTGTACATACCTATATAACCTCAAAAAACATCCTCCATAGTGCCTTATCCATTTCCCTCAAACTTAGACACACCAGAACTATCTTTCTTTAAATCTCCTAGTAAGGCTTCTCTAAACCACGCACTCCTTCCCAAAACAGTCTCCTCAATACAGAGACTTTCAGAAGATTGTAGAATGAGAGTTGTGAGGATGCAAAGATCTTCATATCTCTCTCAAAAATAACTGAAGCAACAACAAGAAGCAAAACTGCTAAAAATCCATACAAGAATATCTGAATATCCCCAAAATGAGTGAATCAAAGAGTTCCAAAATAATACAAACAAGTTGCTCATTAATTGAAATAAAGGTCTTAAAGCACTAGAAGCAATGAATCTGGAAAAAGAAAACAATACACAATAATCTCAAGATCCTGAAATGGATATCACATTTAAGGAAGAATTAACATTGGCAAAAAATTACATGTGGAAATAAAAATGTATAGCAATTTTTTTTAAATTTTGGGAGGAACTGATGCTAGAATCAAATGGTTCTAAAGATCAGAAGGAAATAATTTTAAAAGTTACTGATATGGAGAACAGAATAGAAAATTTGAAAGTATCAATTGATAAAATCATGAATGAATTGCAAAATGTTAACCTTCATAAAAACCAAATGTTTTAAACCTAAGCCTACTCCCAAAAAAGGGGCAACTGAAAAGTACAATGGTAAAAAAAAAGTTCCTGAAGGTGAGATTAGCAAAACTAAAAGAAGTAACTAGAATGTACTAAAATTAAACAATATCAGTTTGCCAATTACCCCCAAAATGGGATGGAACAAATTTCATTTCTACATAGCAAGAGACTTACAAAATACTTACAGGAAAAAATCCTCTTCTTCATCTGAATCTTCTTCCAAAAGATTTCTCTGCAAAATAAAGCATTTTACAAAATAACAGATGTAATACAATTATCTTTCTAGAAAATACAACTTTATTCTTTAGCCTTCAAACTTTAATATGTCATGTATCACACATGAGTCTAAAACTTAGTTTAATTCTCCTATAACTACCTGCACTGAATTTAAAAAAAAAAATAAATATGACCTTATTAAGAAAGTAGATTTTAAAATATTTCTTTGCCAACAAGATTCATTTTTAAATGCTTGCTTGATTTCTATTATCAAGTATTACTTATATGCCAGTATCATTTCTGAAGACTTTATAGAAAAGCCTTCTCTCTAATTATTTGGCTAACACACTAGTTTGATACGTTCCAGGAAATAAATTTTCTTCCCTTTTTTAGAACTCCTCTTTTGGAATTGCCTTTACAGCCTTCAATACATCTTTTAGAAAGAAGATCCTGAATGTTGAAAAACTTTTATCCTTTCAAGGTTCATCTGATATTTAGAAACAGCCAAGTTTTCTGAGACAAAATCCAGTGAATATGATGTATGAGCAAGTTGCACTTTTTTTCTTTTTTTAATGTCAAACAAGGTATGACCATAAAAATCACAAATCTGATTTTTTAGTTCCCTAAACTTGCAAAGATAATGTTCCAAGTGAAGAGTTCACATGTTTTCTGAAGTGTGGGAGGAAGCAATATTAGAATAAGTGTATAGCCTCAAAAGATAATCTCTTTAAGGGACAACACTCTTTTTCATACAAGTTTCTGGTATATTTGATTTTTTAAAATGAGTCAACACTTTTAAGTCATACTTCAAACAAAGAAATGACTTTTTTTTAAAATGCAACTGTTAGACTATTTTCTTGGAATGATGTATATGTCACTTAGTGGTTGTGTGACTTAAAAGTTTATATCTGGACCCAGAATTAAAAAAAAAACCAAAAACATACAATTTAAGAGGTCACCCTGATGTAGAGTTTGGGATCACCAGCCTTTGCCCTTAACAGTAGATAAATTAAGAGTTTAAATGATAAAAACAGCAAGTTGGGCATGCACACACTAAATGCTTCATTTTAATGTTTACTGGATAACAAAAATCACAAGGGAAGGACAAGTTTTGCTTTGTTGAGCTAAAATCTTTGCATGATAAGGACTTCAATCAGCCAGCTGGATCAATAAAAAGAGATAAATGAATGCCTTCATTTCCTCAGTAGGAATTTAAGTGCCTGCTAAAAAGGTAATCTACTTAACAATCCATTTCAAAATGTCTACTTTTAAAATGCTTCATGATTTCCTGATATAAGTGCAATTTTCATGTACTGTTCTCAAAATAGACTAGTAATTTAGGTATTACATAAGCTGCTTTTAAAATTAGGTAATTATATATCTTTTAAAAAAACTAAAAAAGAATCTGTCAGTATGAAATTATGATACATTATGATGGTAGCATCTCAGTTAAGGAATTCATTGCTCTTGGTAACAATCTCTCTACATACATACTTTGTTATCTTATTGCTATGTACACCAATAATAGATAAGAAATTAATTAGTACAGTCAAATACTTTTAATTTTGCTCCCTAGAGCAAATGACTTAGAAAATAATAATAACAACTACTATTTTGATTTACTATTTTTAAAAGCTTCTTGCAAAGAACTTACCCTTTCACTTTTCACAGAACCAGTGACATCATCATCATTTAGGTGGCGTTTGAATTTAGGAGGCATCTTTATTACTCAAAAAGTTTTTTTCCTTTTCCCAACTTTAAGAGGCAGATATATTCCACCTTAAAGAGAAAAATCATTGGGTATTGATTAGTTCAACTGATGTGAAACTTTTAACTGCATCACAGATTTGATAGAGTAAAATGTGAAAGGTTTAACTTTTGTAAGACTAAAATGTGAAAGGTTTAACCTTCGTAAGACATTTTAACATTCGCTCAATTCTTCCCTTGTCTACACTTGAACACAATCTTGTGAATAATTTTTAAGTTATTCAGCTTTCAAAAATTATCTGGTTCTCTCAGACTACACTTAATCCCAAACCCATATTCACCACCTCTCTGTCCCTCCATCTTAATTCTATTGTTTCTCTAAAGCAAAACACTATCACTAAACAAAGATCATCAAATTTGAAAGTTGAATGGGACCTTAGAGATCGGAACACAAGGCCCAGCATTATTACATATCTCCATCAGGGGTTCATTCTTGATGCAAAGTGAGTCTCTTTTCTGACATGGAACCCTTTAACAATCTCATAAAGCCTTTTTCAGAATCCTGTGGAAACTCTGACTGAAGAGATACATATATACATACACACACATATATGTGTGTGTGAGTGTGTGTATAAATCCAGCACAAAAGAAAAGACCAGGCAGCATAGGAAGAGAAAGGCCAGAAGCTACAAGCACAAACAACAACATGGGGTGAGGGCTTGGGAAAGGGCTGGTCCATGTCTGGAGTTGTGCAAAATCCAGGAATTCCCGAAAAAAATGTGAGATTAAGTCTTGGACACCACAGTAAGAATGGGGCCTTCCCACATTGTTCAAGGGTACAAGAGGAATCAGAGTATGACATTAGCACAAAATCCCAATCTAAAAGCGAAGGCTGAAGTTATGATTAATCAGAAGAAAATGCTGAGCAAAATGAAGAAGTCCTATGGACTGAAGGAGAAGAGAGCAACTTCACGAGTCCAAGGACAGCCTCAGACAAAAGACATTCCCAGTCAAAAGGAGGATAAGAGGACCTCAAAAATATGAAACATGATACAAAATAAAATGTTAAAGAAAACAACAGTTAGGTAAAAGAGAATTAATACCTTAGAAAAGATGATGAAGAACTGAACTCACTATATGTTAGAAGGGGGCAACCAGAAAACTTGGCCCCAAGACGAAAAGAAATAATGCAATATAATCAAAAGACTGAAATAAGAGAATAAAATGTGATGATGGTGGTGGTGGTGATAGTGGTGATAGTAGTAGTAGTAGTAGTAGTAGAAGAAGAAGAAGCAGAAGAAAATAGCTAACATATACAGTACTTTCAGTTTTGCAAAGCATTTCATAAATATTTTCTCATTTGATCCTCACAAAAACCCTGGGAAGTAGGTTATTTTCCTGAAAATTGAGGCAGAAAGAAATTAAGTGATTTGTCCTAGTTACAAACTACCTAAGGCAGGATTCAAACTCAGGCCTTCCTGAGTAGATGGAGCCCAGGGCTGTATCCACTATTCTACCATTTCTGTGTCACCTTCAGAGTTAGCAAACCCCCCCCCCCCCCCCCCCCGCTTCACCCTTAGGGGATGACTCCCCCCACAGTCAACTCAGTCAACTCAGTCACTTCTGAGTTCCTGCCTACAATTCACTCTTTATTCCTGGCTCACTCTTCAATCTGCTTGACCTCTATACTGGCTTTCTAGACCCCTGGGGATGACTCCACCCTCATGGCCAACTCAATGATGAGTGAATCCCTTCCTGAATCCTCCACAGCCAGAAAAAGCCCAGATATGCAGGTTTTATTCTCTTCAACTCACTCTCCATTTTGCTCTACCTCCCTGAACTGGTACCTTCTGCCTTCCCACTTCCCCACCCGATTTCCAATTCCCTATTAAGGCTGTGTTACATAATGAGAATGTAAGTTCTTTGAGAGCAGGAAATGTCTTGTTTTCATATTCTGAGCACTTAGCACACTACCAGACACACAGTAAGCCTAAGTGCTTAAGAAACGTTTTTAAATGACCTAGGAGAAAGGATCAAGGAGAAATAATCAAATAATCATCAGGCTCCCTGAAAATTATGACTTGAAACCCAAAAATGAAAACTCCCAGAACAATGGAGCGAAAATCCAAAGCTTCCAGGTCAAAAAAAAAATGACAAGTAGCATAAAAGAAAAAATTCCAGTCCCCAAGAGTCAAGAGTCAGGATCACAGCAGCTGTCATTATAAAGGAGAAGGCAACTTGGAATTCAATATTGCAAAACACAAAAGATATATATAGGCTTACAACAAAGAAAAACCTATTTGGCAAAACTGGGTATAAATCCTACAAGGGAAGACTTCCAATCATTCCTGATGAAAAGGCTAGAACTAAGAGGAAACTTTGAAATGCAAACACTGGATCAACGGAAACATCAAAAGGAAAATTCATCTGATCACTTCCAAGGTACATGATTATAAATTGTTTACATTCTAATAGAGAAAAAAGAAATGTGTCCTTTCACAATTCTAATGTCTTTTATTGACATAATGAAAGGTAAATAGACAGGCAGAACCTGGAGGTAGTTCTGTTCTGTTTTGATGATCTTAGAAGTAGGAAATAGGAGGAATAGGGAAATATACTGAGGAGAAAAGGAGGGAAAGGAACTTACTATCTCACATAATAGGGGTATGTGAAATGAGCACTATAAAAACATGGAGAAAAGGACGAGAGGTACAGGTGTCACATGAACTTCACTTTCTTCTGAACCATACAAAGGCTGAACATATACACACAAAGAACATTAAGTTCAACAGTGAAATTAGGAAAGAAGAGAGACAGCATGATGTTGGGGGGAGGGGAGGTCATGAAGAAAACAAATTTCAACAATGGAAGGTGGAGGGAGAAGAGGGGATTTAAAGTAAAGAAAGAGTAAAAACCTGTGATCACAAGGCAAGGGGAAGAGAAGGGCAATGGAGTAAAAACAACTGAAATTATAGATCACCAATGTTAAATATGTTCTTTCACCTTCTTCTTTGAAAAGAGGGAAGTAAGATAAAGACAGGAAAAAGAACAAAGGGACAAGATAGAGGGAAATACACAATTAACAATCAAACCTATGAAGATGAATGGGATAACTTCACCCATAAAATAGAAGACAGCAATATGGATTAGAAAGCAGAATCCAATGATATATCATTTACAAAAAACACTTGAAACACAAATTTCATGAAGACTTCAAAATAAAATCCTAGGAAAATTTTAAAAAATCAGGAGAAGCAATCATTAATTTCAAACAAGTAAAAATGGGATAAAAAGCAACATGCAGGAAACTACATTATGCGTAAAGGAACCATAGATAAAAAATCAATACTTAATACATATGCACCAAATGGCATAGTTTCTAAATCTTTAAAAGTTAATCAAATTTCAGGGAAAAATTGGGAAACAGTGTACTCTTTTTTCACTATCATTTGATAGTGAAATGTCCTCTCTCAAGATCTAGACAATTCTAATAAAAAGGTAAAAAAGAAAACAAGAACCTGAATAAAACTTCAAAAGAGTTTGAGATGATAAGTCTCTGGCCAAAACTCTTTGGTATCAGTTTAAAAAAAAAAGGGCACAGTTAATCAGTGGAACAGATTAGATGCAAATCTAATATATTTAGCAAATCAACATATTTAGCATTGTGTTTAATAAAATCAACAATCCCAACCACTAAGGCAAGGATTCACTATTTGACTAAAACTGTTGGGAAAACTGGAAAGGAGTTTCACAGAAACCAGAGAGAGACCAACACCTCACACAATATATTAGGATAAGCTCCAAATAGATGTATAACTTAGAGATAAAGGGCCCTTTTATAGCAAAGCAGAGGTATAAGGAAAAGATTTCCTTTTAGCTCTACAGATGGGGAAGGGTTTTGTGATCAAATAAGGGATAGAGAGGATCACAGAAGATAAAATGATTTTGATTATATAAAATTTAAAATTTGTGGAACAAACTCAAATACACTTAGAATTAAAGGGAAGAAATTAGCAAAGAAAATCATCTTTGCAGCAACTTTCTCTGATAAAGGTCTCATAACCAATATATATAAGGACCTAATTCAACTTTGTAAGAACAAGGCATTCCCTAACAGATAAATGGCTAAAGACTGTGAAACAAGCTGTCAAAGGAAGAACTTCAGTCTATCAATGACCATGTGAAAAATGCTCCAAATCACTAATTAAATAATGATAATAATAATAGATAACATTTATATCAAACTTACTAAACACTAGGCACTGCTAAGTGCTTTACTAGTATTATCTCATTTGAACCTCACAACCACCCTGGGAAGTAGGTGCTATTATTATCCCCATTTTACAGATAAAGAAACTGACAGCAAACAGAGATTAAGGAACTTGCCTAGGATCACACAGCAAGTAAGTGTACTAGATCAAATTTGAATTTAGGTCTTCCTGACTGCAGGCCCAGAGCTCTATCTGATGTGGCCCCACAAAGGAAAAATCCTGGACTTTCCCACAAGGTCAAATCTCTGGCGTTCCCCTGAGACTATAATCCCATCAACTGGCCTTTCACTGTGGACCTCCCTATGGCCCCAGGCCATTTCTCCATTCTCCCTTGGCCTGTGGTCCAGGTCCCTGGAATTCTATTACCTCATAGACTACTTGGCCACTCCTAGATCCCTCCCATAGTCCTTCTGTATATAAGTTCCATCTAGTCTCCATTAAGAGGCTTAGATTCTTAAAATCTAGCCACTGCTTACCCAGGTTTCAGACTCCTTAAGAGTCTGTCCAATATGATGGATGTTCTAATAAACCTTGTCTTTGGCTGAAAGAAGGTTTGGGTTGAATTCTTTCAGGCAGGACCCACATGTTGTGATTTAGGGGTCCCAGGACCCCTGTATCCCTAAACCGCATCATTTCTACTGCCCCCACCTAGCTGCCCAATACAATTCAAATTAAAGTAACCTTACATTAATCAGATTAGCAAAAATGACAAAATTAAAAATGGCAGTTGATAGAAGGACAGTGGGAAAATAGGAACAATAATTCATGGCTGGCGAAGCTATGAATTGCTCAAGGTATTCTGGGAAATGACTTGGATTTATGACCAAAAAGTTACAAAATTGTGCATACCCTTTGACCCAGAGATACAACTAATCTTAGGCCACAAAGAGATCAAATGAATAGGAAAAGGACCTATATGGGTATGTATGTATACATACATCAATATATCAGTTCTTTTTGTTGTAGCAAAAAAAAACGTCCATCAGTTGGGCAATAACTGAACAAATTACAGTATGTTAATATAATGGAATACTATTGTGTTATAAGAAACAATAAGTTTCAGAGGAACCTGGGAAGATCACATGAACCTGTCAAACAGGACCTGTCAAACAATTTATATAATAACAAAAACATTATAAAGACAAATTTTGAAGGACCTGAAAATTCCAATCAAAACAATAACTAACTCCAGAGGGCTGATAATGAACATGCTACCCACATTCTGACAGGAAACAGACTCAAGGTAAATCTTTCAGACACAGAATACTAAGACATGCATTATCTATTACAGCCAAAGTAGGAATTTGTCTTGCTTGACTACGCCTGCAAAGATAGGTTTTGGTTTTGGTTTCCAATTGTGGGTTTTCAACAGTGGACCTTGAGAGAAGGTCCTCAAAATGAAAAGAAAGAAGATCACTGAAGCATTTTTTTAAAAAAATATATAGAAAAGAACAGATTGAAGGCCAGTAAGACTCATAGACATGTAAGGATGGCTTTGAAAGTTACATTTTTAATTTAATTTATATTTAAAAGAAGTTGTACATAATAAGAGATTTATTGTTACCTTCACAATTCTCATTGTCTGTTCTGCTTTTAAATGGAAATATCCATTTCATTTGGTGTTTGTTAAGTTCAGAATTTTTAAAAAAAATTTAAATACTTAAAAAAATCAAACTTGTGGTTAAGTAATTAACTTTGAATGATCTAGAGAATCTTTCCCTGGAAAGAGAGGCAGGAGTGTGATATATTAGAAATAGCACTAGATTTAGACTGAGAAGACCTGGATATGAATGTTGTCACTGACACTTATTAGCTGTATATGACTCCCTTAACCTCAATTCAACAAACATTATTTAAAGTGTCAGACATTGTGCTAAGCGCTGGGGACAGTATTTGTATGTAAGTGAAAGCATTTTGTAAACTGCAAAACTTTGTAAGGTATCATGTGCAACAAAGCTGTGAATTATCGTAGGTTGAGGCTGACATGGGTTTGATTATAAATTATAAAGAAAAACAACAGACTATTAGAAAATCACAAAGTTTAGTCTATTCTATGTACATGCATTTTAAAATAAAAATTCCCAGGACTTCACTCCCACAAAAGGATCTTCTGTATGAATAAGCAATCCATAGAAGTCAGAAGAGGATATGAATCAGGTTACATTCAAAGCTCTCAAATGTAAATCTGACTTAAAAATGGAACTGATTAAAACATTTTAATCAAAGGCTGGGAGTTGGTTCAGGTTAAAAAAGATTCAAAAACGTAAATTTCCAGAACTGTTAATCAGTCTCCCAGTGATTCCATCTAATCCCCAAGTCACTCCTTAAATGAATATAATTAGTATGGGACTGACAAGGAAGAGTCAAGAGTTCTACTGAATGACCTAAATGTCCTGCATCATCAATTAAATCACCACCACTTATCTCTGACTCACAGAGGGATTTAAGCTCGTTTTTTGTTTGTCTAGATTAGGAGACTCTTCTATTTCGTTTATCGTAGTGTTCATGTGATTCCCAAGATTATGTGCCAATGTAACTAGGAAACACTGAATATACCAACACCTTCAGGCTTCCCATTTTTTCACAGCCACAATACCTCCCAAAAGCACCATAAAATCCAACTATTATTACCATAAATTACATCAAAGCTCCTGGGGCAAAGATGAGAGCAGGATTAGGCAAGGTAGGCTTATGCAGGGAAGAGTAACAAAGGATACTAGTCAAACTGGCCTTCTCTCCATTCCAAAGAGACAACGCTTCATTTCCCATCTCTGTGCCTTTGCAGTAGCCATCCACCAGGCCTGGAATGCATTCCTTTTCTTCCCCCCACCTCATAGAATCCCTGGCCTTTTAAAGATTCATTCCAGCTCCACCTTCTACATGAAGCCTATTCTAGATCCTCCCAAATGCAGTACCCTCCTTCCTTAACTACCTTGTGTTTATTCTGTATATGCATATATATATACATATACATATGTGTGTGTACTTATTGTGTCCTTGGTTAGAATGTAAGCTACTTTAGCATTGGGATCATTTCATTCTTTGTATTTAAATCTCTGGCACCTAACAGTTTCTGGTACACAGGGGGTACTTAATAAATGCTTGATTGACTGGTGGACTGCTTAACCCAACATAAAGGGAAGTGGTTAAAAGGAACCAGTTCCATTAGTTTAAATGTTTAATGCTAAGGGGACCTAATGAGGGAAATGATCTTTCATAAAACATTTGGCCTGGGAACACAATGTTATGGGGAAAATCCCTGCAGCATTCTCATTTCTCTTTGCTTACTTGAGACATAAATAATAAGTAAATAGAAATATATACAAGTAAATAGAAAATACATACAAAATAAATACAAGGGGATACACTAACAGCTGGGATGAGGCGAGGGGTAGGTAAAGGTCAAAGGCTAGAGGTAGCCCTTGAGCAGAAAGTGGAAGAAACACAGAGATTTTGAGAGGTAGAGAAAGGGGGCAGGAAAAGGAAGAAGTAGACAGGGTGTAGTTTATTCCAGGGAGGATGGAATTCATTTAACCTGTACAAAAGCAGAGCCTGATGGAATTTGGGAGATGAGAAACAGAAAGTAGGCCAGTATGGTTGAAAGGTAAGGCAGTCAGTTCTGCTACTTAACCACATTTTGGCAAGTCAATCCCCTGGTCTCAGTTTCCTCATCCCTAAAATGAAAGTACTGGTTTAGAAAGGCACTGAGTTCCCTCCTAGCACCAAATTTATAATTCTATGCCATCTTCCCTGGGCTAAATATATTTTCATCCAACTTGTAATTTGTGTCATTAGCATATCACTTCTTTTTGGACAAATGAATATAGATTTAAAAATCTGGTATCTGAAGACTTCTTCAAAGGGCAGGATGGAAGAGGGGGGACTATTAGGTAAGGCTTACCAATTTATAAACATCCAACTTGTCATTGTACCTTAAATATGACAAAGAACCAGGTTACTATTCATTATGACCCCCAAAATTCCAACACAACCCCTTAACCCTGTAACATTTTTATAAAATCTGACTCTTAATGAGCTAGATTAGAGGGCCCATCAGGGTATTGTACAAAGAACATTAGATAAGTAGTCAGACAGCCTGGGTTCAGACTCTGCCTCTGCCCTTCATCTCTTTGAGCCTTAACTTCCTCATCTGTAAAATAAGGAGGTGGGAATTGACCAGCTCTAATGTCCCTACAGTCTCTAAATTCTCCTCTAGGATAAGAGCTTGTATAAAATTACACTCTTTCTTCTTCTTCCTTTTTTTTTTTTTTTTTTGATGAGGCAGTTGGGGTTAAGTGACTTGCCCAGGGTCACACAGCCAGTAAGTGTTATGCGTCTGAGGCCTGATTTGACCTCAGGTCCTCTTGAATCCAGGGCTGGTGCTCTATCCACTGCAACACTTAGCTTGCCCCCAGTCTTTCTTCTTTCTCTTCCTTTAAGATCTTTAGTTTCCGGTTCACAGAAATGCAGTCAAGGGGAAAAAAAAGATAGATGAGTTATTTCCAAAGCCAGTCACTGGTGACACATTCATACCAAAGAGTAAGGTTGAATAAGGGCTGGCCCACAATGCCTAAGGCAAGCAACACAGCACAGTGGAATCATTGGGTTGGAATCAGCAAGATCCCATCAAATTCTGCCTGAGACATTTACTTTGCCTGCAGACCCTGGGCAAATCACTTAACTTCTTTCAGACGGGTAACCTTATCTGTAAAATAAGGACAATAAGAGCACCTATCTTGGTGACTCTTGAATGAGATGTCAGCAGTAGAGCACTTTGCAAAACTTAAAATCGCTATAAATGCTGGCTATTAATCTTCCACAGCAGTCAATAAGATAGATATGGTGGCTTCAGAATCACCGTATGATGGAACTTCCTCTATTCCTGGCAACTTGGAGAGTTGCCTGGAGCACCCACAGCCAGTAGTCAATCAGTCCGACAGGCAACAAACATTTAAGTACTTACTATGTGCGCACTGTGCTAAGCGCCGAGGCAAAAGAAGCTCATTGTCTAGTGGGGGCGACAACATGCAAACAACTACGTACAAACAAACTACGGACAGGAAAAACTGTAAATAATCAGAGTGACAGAATTCTTTAGTTCTTAGCAATAATTTTGGTTAAAAGTTACGTAGTGTTTGCAAAGAGCTTTACTGGCATCGTGTGTCCCAAAAGTCTTAATGCAGCTGAAAACTACTAAAGCTTAAATACTTCTTTTGTGGTATATCATTTGTTTTACTTAATCGGAACTAATAGGGATTGGGAAGGGCTTCCTGTAGAAGATGGGATTTTGGATGGGACTCGAACCCAAGTCTGCCCTGGCTCCAGCGCTCTCCCCGCGTCGCCAGGCTGCCTCAGTCATTACCAGCCCATTTCATGCCCCCAAAAGATGCTTTCACTTCAAGCAGGGCTGCGACCGCACTCGTACCCTCTCTTCCCTCCCCAGCCAAGCCCCCGCCCCCCGCGGACGTCCCTCCCATGCTCCCCTCTCCCCAAGCCCTCCGGGCTGCCCGATCGCGGCCCCCGCACCCGCCCCTGCCTCCGCCCTCAGCCCGCTCCGGCTCCCTCCCACCCCGGGGCCGGAGGACGGCCGGCGAGCACTGGCCGCACTGGCCGTTGGGGCCGGCGGCTATTCCGTGCGCAGTGACCCTTCCGACCCCGCCACCAGCGGATCCAGACTGGGGCTCCGCCGCTACCTGGGCGTCCGCCGGGAGGCTTCCGCTCGCCCCTCGGAACTAGGCCGGGCCGGGCCGGGCCCGAGCGGGCTGGGCTGGGCCGGGGGAGGGAAGGGGAGGAAGGAGGAAGTAAGGAGGAAGGGGAGGAGGGGGAGGGGGAAATGCCCGCGGGCGCGGACCCAGCGTCAGCCGCTCGGCTCCTCCGCCGCCCGCTCGGACCAGCAAGCATCCAGGCGCTCGGCGCTCGCCGCTCCACTGCAGCGCAGGCTGGAGGGGGGGGCGGGGGGGAGGGGCTGCTGCGGCGCAGGCGGCCGCGATCGCCGAGTGCATCGATGACCCCCGAGTAGGCGGAGGGAGGCAGCGGGAGCTGGGGCTCTGCGGCTTCGCCTGCAGCCGCTTCGATGCCCAGGCTGGGGAGCTGAGCCCTGGCGGGGCACACGGCCTCACTAGAGGCTGGCTGAGACGTGGTGGTCCCTGCGACTCCACCCTCTCTCCCCTCCGTGCACACACTCTCTCCACTTATCTGCTCGTGGGGGTCATTGGGGGGGGGCTGCAGTTTGTGGGAGATAAGCCATCTGGAAACACCTGTCCGCAGGAGGATGTCCATCAGGGTCAGACAGAGGACGGTGCCCTCCTCCCCGCATCCCCATCGGGTGCTTGTGAACGATTGGGGATGATGATGATGATACAGGTAGGGAATGGGCAGAAAGAGAGGCATTTAAGGATCGGGAATTGGAGAGAGAAGGAGATTCCACCCCCCCCCCCCCATCAGGTAGAAGAAAGGCGAGTGTTTGCGTTAGGAGTTTCGGAGATTCCTTATAGAAAAAGAAAGCCCAATCGGACGACTTTTGCCATGGTTCCTTTTTCCACCTCTTGGAAGACTCATCCCTGTTTTTATGTGGTGGTTAAGCCCTTCAGACCTGTGCATCTGTAGTGTCTGGGTAGGGTATTCCCAACTACTTTCATCTTATGCCAGAATTCGTAAATTCTCAGTGATAATCATAGCTTAAAATTATGCAGTGCTTTAATGTTGGCAAAGAGCTTTTACATGTACCGTGTGCCTCAAAAGTCCGAATGCCGTTTTAAGCTATTAAAGCTTAAATATTTCATTTGTGGTATTTCATCATCTCATTTGTTTTACTTTTCTATTTTTACCCTACCTACATTGGTATTATTCATTAATTTGTTTTGACTATATTCGTTGTTTTGTCTATTATTTTGTGTTCTTTCATTTTCACTGTTAGACCTTTGTTTTTCGTTTATTACATTGAATCATCCTGTTCCCTGCCTCTATCTGTGCAAGCTGTTTTATAAACATGTTACCAATGACTTTGACCAGGATTCTTAACTTGGAGTCCATAAAAAAATTCGTAACTATTTCAATATAATTGGTTTCCTTTTAAAAGAAAAAAGTGGTGCAGTAGGTATCACCTACTGTAAAAGCAGGTACACTATATCAGGTATAGAGGGAGGGAGGGATAGAATTTGGAACTCAAAACTTTAAATAAAAAGAATGTTAAAAATTGTTTTTACATGGAGAAAATAAAATATGTATATATAAAAAAAAAAGAGCAGGTACAGTAAGTGCTGGGCCTAGAATCAGGAAGACCTAAATTCAAATCCAGCTTCAGTAACTTACTGTGTAACCCTGGGGGCAAGTCATCAAACCCCTGTCTGCTTCAGTTTCCTCAACTACAAAATGGGGATAATAACAGCACCTGTCTCCCGATGTTACTGTGATAATCAAATGAGATAATATTTGTAGAGTGTTTAGCACAGTGCCTGGCACATAGTAGGCAATTAATAAATGCTTGTTTTCTTTATAATTCTGTGTATTTTATTTTATGCATTTAAAAACATCATTCTGAGAAGAGTTCCACTGTATCGGCCTTACTAGACTGCCAAAGGGGGTCTAGATGCAAAAAGGTTAAGATCTCCTGCTTTAAGAATACCTTACACAGGGGCAGCTAGGTGGTACAGAGGATAGAGCACTGGCCCAGGAGTCAGCATGACCTGAGTTCACTCAGACACTAGTTGGTGACCCAGTCACTTAATCTTGATTGCCTCCATTAAAAAAAACAATAATAATTAATTAAGGAATACCTTACACAACAATTTGGAATGTTCAAAGGACTTCCACATGAATGATTTTATTTGATTGTGAAGTAAGTAGGACAGATGACAGGGATTATTAGCCCCACTTCATAGAGGAGTAACTGCATGTCTGTAAGGTTAAGTGACTTGGTTGAAAGCACAGAGCTCATAAGAAATGAGACTTGGATTCCATCCACACTATTCACTATTTCCATTATGCCATGTTGTTTTTTTTTTTCTTTTGGTTAGGACCTGTGATTTCATTAATGTTGGGATCTTCCAGTCAGAAACATCCCTCTACCACAGAGTTGTTTAGTGTCAACTAGAGGTTGAATGATTTGCCCATATTGCCCAAAGGTATCAGAGATTGTACTCAAATCCAGGTCTTCCAACTCTAAAACCTACTCACTTGTCTGCAATGTCACACTGCCTCTCATACCACAGATTAAAAAAAAAAACAACAGAAATGAAAACATTAAGAGTAGTTCAGACAGTAGGAAAGAGGAAAAGCAGAAGAAAAGAAGCAGCCCCAAGAACAGCAAAGAATAAATAACAACAGTAGCAGCCTGTAACAGTCCTGGTTTTGCCAACCACCTTTCTATATTTCAGCCATCACCAAACACCTAAATCTTTGTGCAATATGATTTGTGTGATGTGTATGTGATGTAATCTATAATAAGAAACTTTGTTTACCTGGAATATGCCCAGTTGTCTATTCTCCATATTTACATATAAATACACAACTATTCCAACTAACAGTAAAATCTTGCTTATTTGTGAAACAGTAGAAAGACCTCTGACTCCTCACCTCCATTTGTTAGCATTACCTTCTACATAAAGCCTTCCCTCATTGATCTAGCTCCTGACTCCCAAAATTAACATGGATTTGTTTTTTATTTTTTGTATATGTATATGTATGTGTATATTTGTATATGCTTACATATATTGTCTCTTGAGAAAATATAAGCTATTTTGTATCTACTTATATATGTTGTCTCCCTCCATAGAAAATGACTTCCTTAAAATCAGTGACTTATTTCCCTTTTGTTTTTGTGTTTCTAGTGCCTAACACTGGACTTCGCATGTAGAGGGTGCTTAATAAATTTGTTTTGATTGATTTTCTCCATAACCTCAAGCAAGTCTTTTAACCCCTTTATAAACCTGTTTTGTCATCAATAAAGTTGGGATGCCTCGTCTAGTTTACAGGGCCGTTGTTGAGTATGAAATAAGACGATGTATTTCTCTTCACAAAGACAAAGATATAACACAGTGCCTCATACATAATTGGCAATTATTAAATGTTTGTTGATTAATTAGGTGAATATGTATTGTCATTATTAAAAAATGCATGTAATAGGGCCTGGATTTTTCTCCTTGGAATTTTTCTCCAGAATATATTTTATTTTTATATGAATAACGTTTTTTCCCAATTACATGTAAAAATAGTTTTAACCCTCCCTCTTCTTTAGCCCTCCCTGGGACAGTAAGCAATTTGTTATGGGTTATACATGTGCAATCATGCAAAACATTTCCATGTGAGTTATGTTCTGAAAGAAAACACTGACCCAAAAAAAAACAAAACCCTCGACAGAAAAATAGTATGTTTTAATTTGCATTTAGATTCTATCAGTTCTTTCTCTAGATGTGGATAGTATTTTCATCATGAGTCCTTTGGATTCTTGGATCATTGTGTTGCTGAGAATAGCTAAGGCATTCACAGTTGATCATCATATAATATTGCTGTTACTGTGTACAATGTTTTCCTGGTTCTGCTCACCTCACTCAGCATCAGTCCATACAAATCTTTCCAGTTTTTTCTGAAATCTGCCTGCTCATCATTTCTTATAGCACAATAGTATTCCATTATAATCATATACCACAACTTGTTCAGCCATTCTCCAATTGATGGGCTTCCCCTCAATTTCCAAGTCTTTGGCACTTCTAAAAGAGCTGCTATAAATATTTTTGTACAAATAGGTCCTTTGCCCTTTGTAAATCTCTTTGGCATACAGATCTAGTAGTGATATTGCTGGATCAAAGGGTATACACAGTTTTATAGCCCTTTGAGCATAGCATATAACCCTTTGGGCTTTTCTGAACTATACTTTGTAACTCTCTTGTTTCTTGATATATTGGTTACAAGAATTTTATCTTAGACCTGTCAGAGAGCCCAAACTCATTGCAACACCATCACCAAATGCCTAAATTGTTCTGCAATGTGATTTGTTAGTACCTCCTGCTGAGATGTAGGAAAAAACTCATTGTGGAGTCAAAGAGCATCCTTTCCACTACATTCATGTGTAATTATTCTCACATTAATTTGGACTTTCAATATCTTTCCATATTAAACCTGTCCAAATGGGACTAATGATTTATTCTTCCAGAATAACATCGTTAGGTAAATCTTTAAGCCCTGTCAAGCTCTACATATTGTTATTGATTAATAGTATGATTGATGAGATTTTAAGCAGAACAAGTACAAATTCTGTCTCTTTCCGGGCTGGCTGCAGTATAGTATAGATGCAGGGAATAGTATAAACCTCCAAGGGGGACCTTTATCTCTATGTTGGAGCCATTGCCAAGTGGCACATGGGTGCCTGGCTGTACTGTTGCTTCTCTCTGTTGTGCCTGTCCATTCTCCTTGTTTTAAGTGAAGGAATATTGGAGCTAGCTATGACTTGGTGAATTCAGAAAGCTTAGAATGGTGAACCACCAGAGGTTGGGGAAGTAGGTTTCATGTTGGGCTTTGTAGCCATCCAGTCCACCAGCAAGTCCTTGAGGAGTGACCTGACGGACACAGCCCAGAGATAGTTGAGATGAGAACTCATTCAGCAGCTATGCTACATTTGGAAGTGAACTTGGTGGGACCAATCCTACATAGACATTGCCTTAAATCTGAGCCCACTCTCCCCAGGGACCATGATGGCATAGAGGAGAGTATCTATCATTCCCTCCTTTCAGGTGCTGGGGAATGGAATATTTGTAACTTGTGTTCTTGCCATGTCTTCTCAGTAAATGTACTCTTGTAAAAGCTTTAAAAAGTCTTTGACTGTAATATTAACACAGATTTGCCTTTGGTAACAAAGTCAAAGATCAGAGATATTGTT